GGTCGAATTGTGAGATTTTAATTTTGGAAGGCAAACTCTAGTATTCGGTGAGTATGATATAGCCCCAAACCAAGTATTAAACGAGACAAGTTGAATCCAAACAATCGATAGATGGTGAATTTTATCTTTGTAACAACAATGTAAGTAATAATATTTCTTTATTTCAAATGGCAGGCGTTTCGATAGATATCATTAGCCATTTAGCTGATTTCGGGCTTCACAGAGGGAAGGTTAATCGAAGTAGCAGAAAGTCGAGGGGTGGGGAACAGAAGAGCGATTCACAGATGTAAAAGAGGTAGACAGACACAAAGGCAGGGAAAAGGTAAGATGAATAATATGGAAGTTGTCGAATATGACATACTGTGGAGTTTGTAGTGAGAAGTCAACTGCCGGTTTATAGACTTTTTTGCCGGATGAGTATACGTTGTCCAGGGTGCACCACGTGGAGGGTAAGTCTATTGCACACCCCATGTGAGTAATAATAGTTGATGGTATTTCAACAAAAAAACAGCACCGAAAACAGTCGGGAACTGCCAAAAATAACCAGAATAAAAAAGAGAAGCAAATAGGAGAGAAGCACAGAAGCAGGATGAAAAGTAGAAGATAGACTGACCTGGGCATTTTGAATTGTAAACCTAATACAACTCGAGCGTTTCAATTTGGATCAAAAAAGTTAATGAACGTAAGATTGAAACGCAGTATGATAAAAGCGTATTGACTGCATAAGAAATGAAAAGTTATGATGAAATGCACAAAGAATTGATCTTTAAGAGTTGAACGTCTATTAGAATGAGTATGGAGGGGGAAGACAACTTTTTGCTTCTGTTAAGTTTCAAATTTAGGATTTTCTTAAGCGCTTTTTTCACAAAATTGTCTCATTAAAGTTTAGGACCAGTTAGCTTCTTCGGCTCGAAATATAAATAATTACTTATAATCGAATTGAATTTTTCAGAATCAAGAATTCGAGAAATAATTGGGAAAGCTGAGAGAAGCTATACAAATTTATCATTTAATTATCACATCGCATCACTCTCAACATCACAAATAGATGTGATATAGAGAGCAAAAAGAAGAAAAAGCTTCGATTTTCATGATTGAACACTTAACGGAAGCTTTAATCTCTTGAAGAGGTCATTAAAATTAAAAAGAGCTAACGGCAATAATAAAACTAAGTGATTACAGCGAATATGGAGCTATGGAACATCTTCGTAACACGTAAATAATACTTGTTAACTTATCGGCAGCAGTTAAGTTAATTTTCAAAGTCTGTCCAAATATAGCTCATGAAAATATTTTTTAAATTTTTAACTAGGAGGGTATAAGTGCCACAACATGCGAGAGACTGGCAATTACTACTTACAGCACTATCAGCGGTGATTTGTTGAGCAAGAGGAAGCCAGGCACTGAAGATCATCACGCCAGCTAGACCACGAAGAGAGGAAGCAGTGATTGCGGTGAAGAGGGCCACACTTCCTCCCTGGGAGAATCCACCCAGTACAATGCGGTTCAAAGGAATTCCATAGGTTTCCACTTCAGTTTTGACTAGCCTGCAAACTAAAGTTAAACAATACATACGTAATATACAACTTCTTAAATATGCACTCCTCAACAGGTTTATTCTACAGCAATTCAAGATAGGTTTACCACACGAAAAGAAAGAAATTAGGGGGAGGGGGGGGGGACTGGTCAAAAAGAGTAATGATGCAAAATAATGGGAAATAAGGAGACATCAATTGCATAAATGCAAATTTGGTCCATAAAAAACAAGTTCATAATATATATAAACTTCATTTAGCCAGTTCATCGTGTGTGACTATTTTAAGCGTAATCACAATGTGCGGTAACATTAAATGAGCATAAATCCAACGAGTTTAAAGGTGAGTCATATCTGCAGTTTTATAGAAACAAGAATTTCAAAGTGATTCATTTCACTCATGTAATTCTGCCAGTTGGAACCCAACCAGCTGCGGTCTAAATTACTGCTAGAACAAAATTAGCACCATTTGTTAGTAAGATTTCCAAAAACTACATGATACAAATTATTTAAGTCAGAACTTCAAGGAAAATAATCAATAAACTTACGGCTCCCAGTGTGAACCACTTGCGACTCCTATTTACTCAACTCTATAGAAAGAAGATTCTTGAGACAAGAAAAGTGTTTGTACTGAAATAGACCTATTGGCAATCTTACAAAGGCGCAAGATCTCACGATCAATTTCAATAATATGATTTTAATTAAGAGGAAGAGGGGACTTTCCGAAGGCATTTCTCAAAAAATACAAAAATTTATGATCAATAGTGGGTAAAATTAAAAATAGTTACAAATAAAATCGAATCAAATTCAAGAGGGAAGGGAACGATAAATAATAAAGCAATGTTAATCAGATAAGGTCTGAGGGCAGAGAGAGAGGAGTAACTGAGAGTCGCAAAAGATTTTGTTGCTGGAGCAACTGCTTCTAATTCTTAAATGCCAAAAGGGTGAAATGAATAAGGTCATGCAAGAGCTAAATTTGAATAAATTAATTTGAAACAGCAAAACTCAAAAGAGGTGAAGTGAAAAGAAATTAAATTGAGTAAATCAAAAATATCCAGGTTGTAAATAGAATTATTCATTCAAATGCTCAAGATTTTGGCTCGAATATCATCATAACTCCACAAGAAGGGTGAACAATTTTCAAAAACAGCTAAAATTCATAAAACACTTGAAATCTTGGGCGAAAGTAAAATGGATCACTCAGGACTTGTGCCTTTAAGAGTTGAAGCGGATAACTTCGTTAAGCAAGTGTGAAAATTGCTAGCCATCTCACTTAAACTTCGGTAAGGCCATTTAAGCGCCTAAAAATCGAGAAATAGAGAATATTTTAGACAAGAATTTACCTTAATCTAGGGAATGAATCCAGAAACTTGAATTTTGGTATGTAAACTAGCCTGAGAGTTCATATTATGTGATCCGAAAAAGGAAAATAAAGCAAGGCTCCATGGTTCTTTGACCTTATTCTCACAATATTTTTCAGTCCCTTAACTTAAGCCGTAGTTAACCGATTTTAATAACTTTCGCCAATTGAAAATCGTCATTTTTTTCCAATTACTGATAATAGACAGAGAAAGTAATCAATTGAAATAGATGAGTGATGAAGACCTTGAAATGATACTAGTTCTGCACGTTGTATAAAGCAGTTTAAAATAAAATGCTATTCAGTTGCAACTTCCAAAAAGACTAAGCATGCACTTTAATTGGATATACTCTTATTTAAGTAGCAATATTTTCTGTTCACATATGTACACGCATTAACAGTAGCAATGTGGAAAGTGCAATTTGGTCCTGGCGTAAAATGGATATCACAGTATGCGCAGATAGGAATCCAACTCGAGAAACGTAAGAAATCAATGATAACCAGGTAGACTTGAGCAGAGGTGAAGTGGGCAAGTGAGTAGCTCATTTAGCATAAATCATAATTAAATGTGCCTCGGTTAAATCTAGTTCTTCCATTTTTAAAAGAGAATTCTCACTGATGCTCCATTATAATATGAAACAACATGAAAACTAGGCAGCAATAAGACCACGCTGTTGAAAAGATAATAAAACATCAAAGCGAACTCCATAATGATTAGTTAAAATGGTTCAATAAAATAGTAATCATAATGGAAATGAAGAGCACAAAATCTTGCAGTTTTATTGCTTAAAATAATGAGGATGGGAAATTCATAAAAAAACATCCTAATGACTGCAAAGAATTACCATAGCCGTTTAAGGTGGGGGGGGGGGGATTGGTATTCACAATAGGACGATCCCGCTTATTTGCAAAAGGAGAGTTTAGAGATGTTGCCAGTCAAACAGCGATTTTTTGAACCCATAACCTTATTAAATTTAAAGACGGTTCAAAGCGATTTAGCAAGTTTTCGGTTCTGCAATAAATTGGATTCGACAGAAAATGTGAACGTATGAAAATAAGGTTAGAAATTAGCAATACGCAATTCCACTCTGCAAAAACTCAAATTTCATCGACAAAAGACGGTGAAAGGGTAATCTTTTTGTGGACTTATTCTATGGCAATCATTGAAGATATAGCCGATATAGCCCAGAAATAAATCTCATAAAACATAGATATTTGAAAAATAAGTTTGTAATCATGAAATTCTACACCAGTAACCTAACTTAACATCATCAATAGCACAACAACAATGTCATAAATGCTGAGAGCTTGGCGGATTACAATAACCTTAATTCTCAAGCCCAATAAAGAAAGGAGTTTCAAAATCTCTCTGATGAGAAGCTCGTTACCCTAACATTCCTAATTTGAATGAAGTCGTTAAATGAACTGATTTCTTTCTACTTAAGCTCATATAAGCGTGCATTAAAATGAAGCTACTATTAAGTGAGTGTATTAAATGGTAACTATTATTTCTAGAACAGAGACAACCCGATTTGCAAAAAAGAGAGTGAACTCTAAATAGCTAACAGAACATTCATGAGGAGTTAAAATAAGGAAAATTAATAGATAAAATCTGTACACACAGCAGAAGATAAACCTATGTTAAGAAAAATGCATTTTAAACGGCAATATATACCACAACTACCTATACAGAAGAAAGAAAGACTGTTTATTTCTACTTGAAATGTCAAATTATCATACGGAATGCCAAAAAAGCATAATAATGCATAAAAGCCCAGCATAAATGAAAGTTGAATTAATAAATATGTTAACTCGAGAGGTAGGCTAATTTATTCAATTCCATTAAATTAATTACAGAAAATACAAAAACCTGTGGGGAGCAATAGCTTTAAAAACATTAATTATCATAAAATAACAGAAACTATAAAAATACGATAAGACGACAATTAATAGCAGAGCTTTTATGAATACAGGTAGGTCAAATGGCTGAAATGCATTAAAATTAAAGTTAAATGCCATTGCATTTCGATTAGTTAGAATTCTCAAATCACTGAAAAGATGAAATATTACAAAACATAATCGGTAAAAGATACACATGTTACATTTTCCAACACATTTTATTAAGCAATGCAGGAATGGTGGATGAAAACAAATACACGAAAAAAACTACAATCAACTGTAATTTTGGTGGCCGATTTCAACCATTAACCGTAACGAAAGATTTCATTTGACTCCTAAGCCTGCTAAGTTTATCATTTTACTCGTGGACTTCTAGACGCTTTTTCAATAGAAACACGCTGCTTGCCAATCGTTATACACCAGAACTGTGTTGACACATTAGAGTGATCAATGCAATATCGATACAATGAATAGCCTGACTTTCATACCAGAGATCACAGGTTTGTGATTCATCGATTCACATGTATTTTAAAAGATTGTCAACCACAATGATTAAAAGCGTGACCTTCGAATGGGTTTATAAGTTCATGAGGCTACTGAAATAAAGCTGCATTCGATGGGCTTGAACATCGGTTACAAAATAAATAACTCCATTCTGTGGACACAATACAGTTTTTTAAAAAGGAATTAACCCAAATTAAACATGCAGTAGAAAGCGGACACTGTCACAAAATAATCCACCAATATCAGAACGAAGCGAAACAAAGGAACTTTAGAATTATGAAAAGAAGGGGAATATCCTGTATAAAGGAACATAGAATGTCTTGAAAATTACATATGCATCCTAGCAAACAAACAAAGGATACTCGATAACAACAATTGATCGAAGCATCACATTCGTGTATTCCTACTGTCAACTCATTAATACAAGTCAACGAAAATAGGATAGACAGGAAGATCGAATTAGACAAAAAACCTATAGATAGTTTCATTATTTACATAAAGAGAATAAATAAACCAGAAGGATAAAAGAGAAGGAATTACTTCTCAATTAAAACCATAACTAGAATAAGGCTAGAACTAATACATGGACGCGTTAAGCCAAGTGGAGGCTATTAATGTTAATCATGCCGGTTCTGTAACTGTGCAATATGTGAAAACATACAAAATAAAATTAATAAGGGAGCAGGAAGTATGTGAACCAATAAAAAAATCCAAATCAATTCGAAAAAAATAACATGAAGGAATTCGGAATACGTCGGTACCTATTAATTAGTGTGAAACAAATGTTGATAAGGACATCGATCTCAATCTCTACAACAACTGCGATTCAAAGAAAAATTCAACCGGGATACACTATTAAACATCCGAACCAAGCCCAACTTACAAACTTTCATAATACAACACGACGTGAACTGAAAATGTATTTACCTTATTATCTTAGACGCCTTTATAAATAATTACGAGAGAATTAAAAAAAAGCAAAATAAGATAAGACCAACCTTGCTCAGCAACTTTTGAGATGCCTTTTTCGTCTTGGGGTGAATCAACTGAGAGACCGTAAATATCGAACCATGCAGGCATTCTGGCATTTTGATTAATAGAAACTTCCATGGGTTTCCTATGTTATATTTGCTAGTAATAAAAACAAATAACACCACATTACGCGTTGGGGCAGATAATTTTACAGTGAGAAGGGACAATTTTCTTCAATTGATAACACCAGTTTCGACTGGACGAACGCGTTAATGAGAGAAAATGACTCTTACCCATTATCACCAAGTCCGTGAAGAAAAATTAACTAAAAAGCAAAAATGCAGACATAAGACAAGATAGAAAAAATGAAATAAAGTGCATTGGATAAAAAGAGAATTAATAAGATCTAAGATTTTAAAGTAAACCTGAAAAATTGATTTGAACAGTTACCGTAGATTTGTGCACATCTCGAGGTTTAACTATTTCACACGATAGCGATTCAACAGAACCATTCTTTCCTAAATGTCCACACATCCAATTACCCATTAGAGCAGGCGTGTAAACCAATTACGTTAAAACTGCACCTGAAGAGATTGTAGTACGCGTTGAAATCCTTGTAAAGAAAAAGAAAGTTTAACTAGTAAAATTACGATCATGTCTTCCTTCTTTACTAATTTATTTTTAATGTAGAGCCATTATTTGATTTTTTTCCTAATTCCATATTTTAGTTTAATTATTGTACTAATATGCAATGCCCTTGATATTTACTTAAAAATGAATTTCTGGCCAATGGGGAAACATTATTAAAGTAGAGATTTGGTCATTTTTTTACTTTTACTAATAGGCA